TTTTTAATATAGTGCGTGAGGCGTGGCTCGAACACCTGACCTCCCACACAAATTCCACACTTTTCACCAGTTGGGCACTTCATCTTAATTAATTATTTCTTTCACATATTATATTTATTGTATAAATATATAACAATCCCCCACATAAAAAAAGCGTAGCCATTCCTATATTTATAGATATTTTCATTGTCACTTAAGTTTTTTGCTCAATTGTGTGATTGTTCCATTTCGCGTCAATCTTTACTGTTTTGACTGAGTTTCATAAGTCACTTATGGTGCTCATGCATACTTTAAATATAGAAAGCTGAGAATGCATATTGAAGAATGGAAATAAATAAATAAATGAGTATTAAAGAAACAGAAATGAGAACATGCTTGAAATGTCTCCCCAAAAGTACGAAGTTAGATTATAATATGTGAGAAATTTCTTCAGTGCCCTTCAGTCGTGGATTCTTCATATGTCCTTCGTATATCCTCAGATACTTCATCCTTCGAAGTTTTGTTTGATGGATAAGGTGAGTGAATATTCTAGGTTTTCTTTAGATGAAAAGGGATATCGATTTTAGTGAAAAGTTGGATGGTATTAAATATGTGTACGACAATTAATTAATGAAGGAATCTACCATTAATTAGTAGGGTTATTCTTATCAAAGAAGTTCTGAACTTTAAAATTCTAAATTTTCGTGAATATATCCACACCATGTATTATCAAATTAGTTAAGGATGGAATTTCTTGAGATTAATTGAGGACACTGGTTTCTCATAATTTCTACTTCATTCTCTTTGTGCGTGCATGAATCATGCGTCATTCGTGTCAGTGACTTAATTTACTAATTTAGTAAATAAATGTTATTTATAATATTAACCAGCATGCATCGTTTGTACATCAATTATCCCATAATTGCACCAACAAGTTCTCGCCTAACGCTATCCTTGTTGTTTCAGGCATCGCATTTTCAAAAATAAAAGCAAGATGGCTTAGCCTTTGGAATAGTAGCATCAAAGGGAAGCACGCTACCCATACACAGGGAACAGAAAGCATGCCTCCAGAAGCACCAGACAGTACATATATATTTATTGATATCTTCGTTCTCACATTATTTGCTTGCCCAGTTGTGTGATTGTTCCATTTTGCTTCAATATTTATCATTTTGACTGAGTTTCATAGATCACTTATGGTTCTAGGACGTATTATAAAGATAGAGTGCTGTGAATGCGGATTGAAAAATTTAAAAAGTTGCCCAAACTAAAACTCAAAAGTATATTAAAAAAACATAAACAAGAACATATGTGAAATTTCTCAACAAAAATACATCGTTATAGTATTTTATTGTGAGAGAATTTCTTCGGTGCACTTCAGTCGTGGATTCTTCACATGTCCTTATATCATTAACCTAAGATGCTTCATCCTTCAAAGTTCCGTTTGACAGATTAGGAGAGTGAATATGCTAGGTTTGCTTCAGGTAGAAAGGGATATTGATTCTAGTGAAAAAAGTAGGAAGGTTATTCTTATCAAGTAAGGTCCGAACTTCTAAAATTCTAAATTTCAGAAATAAAAAAGTGATTCAAGAAAAATTTTTCTATCAATTTATTTCTGCTACTCTCTCCTCAGCATGTATTATCAAACTAATTAATGATGGAATTTCAAGGGATTGATAGAGAAGGACGCTGCTTTCTCATAAGTTCCCTTTCATTCTCTGTGTGTGCAGCCATGAATCATACGTAATATTGCGTGTAAGTGACTTATTTACTAATTTAGTAAACAAAAGGTTATTCATATGAGTATTCAGCATTAATATACGATTTTCATAAACTTCTAAGGCAAATCAATCACCAAGAAAACACAGAAAGCAGAAATTGGAAAGCAGGAAATTAGTCAGAGGAACTCTTGTGCTCCTGGAATGAACTACATCTTTGTTTGACCTCCATCCGAATATATTAATCATTCTTTGCTCTGGATTCTTCAATCATTAGAATGTTATACAAGTTTGTACATCTATTATCCCCTAATTGCTTCTTGAGCATCAACATTTTTTAAAGTTGTGTATGCCGCATATCTAAAGCTTCAAAATCTGATGCAGGAGGATCTGAGTCATACGAGGTCGAGCTGTCTGATAGTATGGTAATGGTGCTGAGATACCATGAGTTTGGCGGATCAGCGGCAAATAATCATCGACCTTTCCTAATTGGGGCCTTTTTGGACACGTTTCGGTATTTTGGCCATAACTTTGGCTACAGTTGTCAGAATCACGCCTATGACCCCAATTCGAAAAGCTCTTTTTGGTGCGCATGTCNTCAAATTTAACCAAATTTTTGGGATCTTCTTCCTTTCATTACGTATTTCGTTTTGGTATGAATAATAGAATTTTGCTATTTTTGGCAAAATTTCGATAGTTAATATTTTCTAACTATTTAACCCGACTTGTGGGTTATTTTCGCTCAGTTGTTGAATAATAAAGATTTTCTTATTTTTCTTGGTGTTATTCTCTTGCATTCTTCTCTGTTATTGTCAATTGGTTCCAACCTGCAGAATAATCACTATTCCGCCCGGCGTCAAAATCTTTTATTGATTTTATATTAAATGTATATAGATTCTTTTTTAGAGTCATTTATTGACCATAGACCCTCCGTCTTGATCGTAATTGCATCAAACATAATGTATGCTCTTGTTTGAGCCCCTTATTTTGAATTAGTAGATTTTGGAATAGTACTTTTTTAAGAATGTGTGGTTATAAAATAATGAATTTTTTTGATTTACGTGTAAAATTATTATTATTATTTTTTTTGATACCCAAGTATCCCAACTTCGCCAGACTAAATCTTGGACCTCCAAGACCCTTGCCCCTAGAACTTTGGAGGAGATAAATCGTGGGATGTGCCTCAACTGGTTCACAGGTTCCCCTTACCAACTGTACACTTCTGCGCACAAGGGATCATCCTCAAAAGTGATTACTCCATACCAAATAAATTTGGCCGCAGGTTCTCACTAGTATTCGAACCCTCACCCTCCGTTGGAAGCTAATTATGTGTTGATTGTTCCGCAAATTGAGCTGTGTCCTGGGGGGCAAAATATAATGAAGTAAAATTATTTTATTGATAAAATGTATGGTTGAATATGAGTTTTGACAAAAATGAGTTTTTGGGAAAATTGTATATCTCCGTAGTGTTATTTGTTATTTGAACTAGAAACACTATCTTGGTATTATCACGAATCCCAAAAATAATCCTAAAACTAGCTAGATAGTAGGATGTTAAAATAATTTAATAACAGACAATCAACAAATTAAGCCCTGTTTTATGGTTACTAATTGGCTAGAACAATGTTTTGCATAGTGATTTTTAAGAAAGGGCCGTGCTACTCGAACAGGGCCACCTCGGCCCTGGGTCGCCACTTGATCCACTAATTTTTGGATTTTTGATTTTTTTATATTATGAAAATATCTCGTAACAATAAACTTATGGAAAATGCTAGATGAACATAATGTTTTACATAATGTTTGATATAATGGACACATGTTTGGCCCCTATTGGAGGGTTGCCGGGCCCAAACATGTGTCCATTATGTCAAACATTATGGGTACCTTTATGTACCCATAGCATAACTCCTTATAAACCCTTCTAATTTCCCCCAATTGGTCGTTTTCCCGTCTTCCCCCGCCAGCAGCCTGCCTTGCGATCTAGCCGTTATTGCCCGTCCGCCTCTGCTCTCCGGTCTCCCTCTCCGATCCACCCCTTCTAATTTCTGAAGGTAAAATCCTGATCCTATCTGTGACTTGTTAAGGATCATATCTATTTATTTAAAAAATTATGTTTGAATTCGATGACCGATATCTCGACAATGTATGGGTTGTCAAATTAGTTGTCAACAAAGGTTGTACAACTAGCCTTATTCTTCCTTCCTAGGCACTGTACTCTCCCTTGTTTTAGGTTTAAATTTCTGTACTGTGACAGTTCTAGATTTTTTTTTTTCGTTTTTGCTTTTCGGAAGTCATTTTTTTTTTCTGGGTTATGTTGCTTGAAGATTGAGCATATTTTACAGGCACTTCTGTTTTAGCATATCTATTCGATGTGTTCCATGTAGAGGAGATTCGGTAATTTTTCATCACTTTTCAACTACACATTGATCACTATTCCAAATTTTATAATTTCCCCAAAGTGGGGGCCAAACACGTGCTAAATGCAAAACTTTACTTTTTAATATATATTCTCCAAAAGTTCACTTTTTACAAAATCCATTCTCAAATAATGGAGCTCAAACATGGGCTAAATTTCACAAGTATACAAAAGAGAGACTGTATGTGGTTCGTAGAGCTTTCAAATTGGTGTCAGACTAGTATAAAGGGCCAGACAAAAACGAAAGAGGCAGAATGAGTGCATTCTGGGAATGATTATTAGTGAGGTCAGACCTGAAACATGTGTTTTCTGTATTGTTTATGTATTGATTTATGGGGGTGTATAATAACTAAGATAAGAAAATACCATGAAGATTTCCTAAAAATTTTCTGCAGATCTTCATAACCACTTCTAATATCATGTTTAGATGTTATTGCCATGTCAGCATTTACTGTGCATTTCTATGAGATTTTACAAGTTCTAACAGTCGTAAACACAAAATCTAATGCTCCAAAAGAAGTTACCTGCTCGTTTCATATTTACTGAAGAGTATTGAGAATCGGTTGGTTTTCCTAAAATTTAATGAAGAGCATTGAGAATTGGTTGGTTCACCCTGATATAGGACTATGTAATCTAACTACTGGGTCTGTATCTATTCCATATTAGGCAAGTTTCTGGGTTTGTAATACTGTTGCTACAAAAATTAAACTGATCGGGGCACAGTTGTCTTGTGTAGATGGTTGGGAGCTCCTGTACACAGGAGTAATATGACATAGTGCAACAAGTTAGTGATTGATAGACCAAAGTAAACATGCTTAATATGGATATGAAGAATTTATACCATTGGTTTTTCCAATAAATGTAGTAATTCACTGAACGCATTGGCTAAGAAAGATTCATGTCAGTGATCCCAAATTTCTTGGGAATAAAGCTTTTAATTGTTGCTGCTGCTGCCTTCACTTTTGTGATTTGTATATCTGTTACTAGTTCAATTGATTTCTTAAGGTTATTGTATTGATATAGCATTTATCTGAGTTGGATTCCTGTGATTTATGCGTATAAAATATTGTTTTGACTAATTTCCCAGGTTAAGAAGGTGAATCTTAGAGAATTAAATCCATATTTGAAAGATAGTGGGAGTGGTTATCCAGACGGGTCTGATGGAGTAAAGTCTGCGAGCCACCTTTTATCATCCGCAGTTGTTGGCGATGGAGGTGCCAGCTGGAGGCTAAAAGCTTTGAAGAGAGCTCAAGAGCAAGCAGCTCGCGAGGGACGGAAGCTTGAGGAGGTATGTAGATATGGCTCTCTAATTCGAATGTTAATTCAACTATTACCTAGTAGTGAATAACGAACTTGTTTCCTCACAGGTGGTTGAAGAGCGTTGGGGTTCCATGGGTCAATTTGCAGCTTCTGTGGCTTCTCATAGAGTTGCACCAACTCATGCTCATCTTCATGCTACGAGAAATAGGAAGAAAGAGTTAATTGAAGAAGAAAGGACAGTCGTAAATAATGAAAATAATAATTCTGCTGAGAAGGTAATCCTCCATTTGAATTGACTTTAATATAGCACTTGAATATTTACTGCGGTCAATGTTCAGTTTACTCTGAATCTATTTTCGGCTACTGTCAGAGGAAAGCTGAAAAGTTGGTATATAGTGTCCTTTCTTCTAGCCCAGCTGGGGGAAGGAGTGCACTCTGAATGATTGGCTACATAAATTAGTTCTTGTCCCAAGATTACGTCAATAATCTTTTTTAGTTTTCTTCAGAATAGATAGAAATAGCTTGCTAGAGATATGATGAGTTTAGTCATGCCAACTGATGGATTTTGTTTTATCAGAATTCTGATCGGAAAAGCACTGTGGGTGCTACCCCTCAGCATCCTAGAATGAGAGTGCCAAAAGTTCGAGATTCTTTATCATGGGGGAAGTGCAGAAATCGAAGTATGTCAACTCAGGATTCTGCTCTGGTCTCTGCTGCTATGTCAAGCTTAAATAGATTTGATAATGATGGAAGCTTCATGCATAAATTTGTGCATCAGAAGAATGATAATTCTATTGATCTCAGTATTTCTTCACGTTCTAAGTCTGAGGAAAGAGCAGAACCAAAATCAGTTGGGTACGAATCTGAGGAATCTAAAGAAGATGCGTCAATTGTGAAGCCAGCGATGAGTGCGAATCAGTTGGCTGCAAAAGCCTTGCAACTCCATATGAAAGGAAAGCATGAAGAAGCTGAAAAACTTTTGGTAGGAATCAATTTCATCTTCTCTCCCTTTCACTTTATGTTCATTGAACATCTTCTGCGTCTCAATCACTTGCTGCTCTGGCTCTTAAAAGTACCTGAAAGCATAAATTACATTACATCTCTTTATCTTCTTGTGGTTCTGGACACTTGTTTACCCATAGGTCCAGCACTTCTTTGGTCCTGTAATCTTGGACATTCTTATTTGGATAGGAAATAATTTAGACAAACTACATACCTTTTCCTTTTATTTCATTGATCATTGACATGTGGTATCCAAATTTGACATATTCAAATTGGTCTTGCATTGTAGAGTGGGTATTATAATAGGATGATCGTGTATTACCAAAACTTTTTCCTCCTGAACAGCCACTAGATAACCTGAGTAAATTGAAAGATTTTATGCCAGGGGCCTTAGGCTAGCTAATGGTCACTGACTCGGTAGTTTAAAGAACTTCCAGTTTTCTAGAGTGTGATTCTCATAAAAATATGATTTTTGTTCTCATAATAGATATGGTAAAATTTGTAGACATCCCATCACTGCACGAGAAATACTTCTGCGGTGCTTATGAATTAGACTTCTATTTAGTGCTTGTATTAGGAGGAATATGGACTTTTGCCCTCTAGCCATGTACTTTTCTGTCCAACAGGATAACATTTATGTCAACAACCAGTTTCGTACCATGATTTTTTACTTTGTGGAGAACTCAGGCTGGGTAATGGAAAATTGGAAATGCAACCCATTTTCGCTTCTTTTCTTTTTCTTTTTACCTTGTGTGTGTGTTCGATTAAAATCGGAATATTTTTGTGTTAGAATGATAAGATAAGCAAATATTCCAATGATAATGTTACATTTTTTAGAGTTGAAGTATGTTGTTCTGCCTTCGTATTTGTTTATTGAAGTTAAGATTGATGTTAAAAAAATTGTATGTAATGCAGCAAGTGTTATCGGTATTTCATATTTTCAATTGGTTTTACTTCCTATAAGCTGCATTGAAGCTGGAAAATGCCTAAGTTCTAATGCATGTTCTAGGTGAATTTTAGTGGAGAAACTTCCATTCATTATCTGCCTCATTTTGTCACTTTATTGTAATCATCATTTCCCATATTTTTTTCTACGACTTCTTCTTCAAGTGCTTTCCTTTATGTTAAATATGGTGATAGTGCAAACTGTAATCAAGTATGTCGTTAACACTGTTACATCTTGCTTCCTCCATTTGAAGAAATCAGAGTATTCTCCACATTTTTTGTTGTCAGGCTTCTCTTTTTCTTTCTTATAAATGCAAGGATGGGTAGTGTTAAAGTAGTGACTTGTCCTCAATTTCCATTTTGATGATTAGCTAGAGCGTTGTTTTGTTTTTAGTAGTCTAATCTTCTCATTCTCTTTTCTTAATCAGAAAGAAGCTGAGAAAATAAAAGCTACACGGGTTGTTGGTAATGAGTCAAGCAGATGGGACTACTAGCAGGTGATTTTGCTTTTACATAATCGTTAGGTGTGGTGGTTGCCCTTGTTTGTCTTGATTCATTTCATGGCCTTTTCACTTTATGAAGGTATATTATGAATGATGTCCCTGCCCGACAAAAGAAGAAAGAAGAGGATGCTGATTTGAATCTAGCTCAAACAATTATGCGTAATCATCAATATAGCAAATCCCGTCAGGCAGATGATGAATATGATTATGATGATGGTCCAAGGAAAAAGACTCGCAAGAAAGGAGGGGGAGGCAATCATAAATCCAGTGAGATATCTAATTCGGCAAACCGCTTCTTCACGCAGCAAGAGCGCTGTCAATTTTGCTTTGAGAATCCAACAAGACCTAAGCATCTGATCGTTGCTATTGCAAACTTTACCTACTTGTCATTACCTCAAATGCCGCCTGTTGTACCGGGTCATTGTTGCATTTTAACCTTGCAGGTGAACCTGTATCTTCTGTCTAAATAAATATCCTCTCTCTCTCTCTTTTCAGAATTACATCTTATTCATATTAACTCGTCTCTAGATGACAAATGACTTTATTGTGAAATGTCGTTTAAACCATTATAAAGTCATTACTATTTTATTACATTGCATTAATCCATTATAAAGTTATTACTATTTTCTTACATCGCAGTAACTATCGGCCCCTGAATTATGTTGAAAAATGCAAATAACTCTATTTTTTATATCTGAAATTATTACTCCGCTGACATTCGTGATGCAGAATCATGTTTTCAATTGCTTTGCAGACATGACACATAAATTTGTGATTTGATTGCCTAATCGGTAATGGTGGATTAGAAGTAGATTATTCATGTTTTGTGCTGCTAACATAGTTTACCTGTTGTTTTTATTGACGATGCCATCATTTTTGTAGTAACTGTAATTTTTTACTTTTCGTCTGAACAGCATGAATCGTCCACGAGATCTGTTGATGATAATGTGTGGGATGAGATTCGGAACTTCAAGAAATGCCTAATAATGATGTTTAAAAATCAGGAGAAGGATGTAGTATTCCTTCAGACAGTAATGGGGTTGGCACAGCAGCGGTCAAAATTTGGACTGTTGGAAATTTTTGCCAAACCGGATGACCCGTCTGGTCGACCGCCGGTCAACTTTATTTTTTAGGAAAATGTTTTGAATGATGTTTTAAAAATATGATATAAGTTCAAACATCATTTTGAAAATCAATTTTACTTTTGATCAAAGCATTTTATGCAAGTGATGATGAAAATAACTTTTCTTGCACAAAATGATTTTTGAGCGACTATCAGTCATTACTAAAGATCAAAGTGTTATACCTTTACATATGATCTAGAAAGCCTAATCTTTGATCTTGTTTCAAAGTTTCTTTCATGTTTGGCTCTTCAACTCTTTAATCTTGATCTTCTCGACGTTTAGCTTTAATGCTTGACTTCGATCTTGACATTCTCCATGAGTTCGATTTGATAGTCTTGATTTTGATATTTTAAACTCTCGTCTCGAATGATTTGACTTGAATGCTTAGCTTTCACATTGATCTTCATTTCAAGTCTGATATACAAAGCATGCTTGATTGATTTTAACATTGAACTATCATTACTCAAAATAAATCGTTAGAAACAATATTAATCTTGTTTGTTATGATCAAAACATTAAGGATGAGGTCCACCATTTGTAAACAGTGATGTGAGGTCTCCCCATTTGTTTTTAATTCATTTGCTTCACCCGTAAAAGGAAGATCATTGAGGAAGAAGCCATTTTTGTAATCCTAGCGTCATATATGCTCTGAACTTTCGATAGTTGCTTTCTTTTTGTGATGTCTGAGCACTCGGTCTGTCATTCTCTTGAATTTTTTGGATGTTGGGTGCGAGGTTTTGCCCATTTTAGTTTTTGTATATTTCCATTCGTTTTATTCTTCGTGTGTTTCATTTTCTTCTTTTGTTTCAGTGCCTTAGTTCTTAGTGAAGCCTTAAGTTCTTTTTTTTTTTTCAATTTTTATTACGGTTTGCTTTCAATTTTGTTAGGGTTTATACATGATTCTAAAAGTTTTCGCTAGAGTTTTTTTTTTTCTTTTGCGAGGGTATGAATTTCAACTTATTCTGGGTGTTATATTCTGAAATTGAAGTTGTGGTAGCGGCTACTTGTTCTGGGTAATGTAGTTTTTTTCTATAACTTGTCATTTAAAGGTTTATCATATTATGTCCTCCTAAATTGAATATGAATTTTCCTTCTACAGGAATTTTACTGATGCAGAGTAAACGCTACTACAACACTGAAGAATAGTGATATTCTGCAAGAAAATGATATAGGTCTATGAAACATCATGGTATTTGATGTCTTTATTGATATGATGTAGGTGCTCAACACCCCAATGTTGGTGTTATTTTGGCGTGCATAGCTCTTATATTACCAATATAAAGTAGCAATGGAGCATTTGAGTTCTCTTTTAATTCAAGAGGTTAGAAATTTCATGTCAAGCTACTAAAGTATGTTCAAATATTTTGATTCCTTACATTCCTTGATTTATTTATAGTTATTCCAGTGAATGTATACGCGGAAAAGTGGATAGTAGTTTGTATTATAACTTTAAGAGAAATTGAACGAGCAAAAATCTCGTACGCTTGTTCAATTTGCAGGGAATTATTCTTGTTTTACGGATCTGAATAAAGAATTATTGATATAAAAGCATGATTTTTATGCCCAAAGAAATGGTTTCTGGGTGAAGTTAACATTTCTTTACATCTTTCTGTTTTGACTTGGCATTTTTATTATTTTTGGCTTACTAGACATCAATTCATTTGATACAGTAGGAATTTATATTCTATTCAACGTTTTGATGCAGGGGCGGACGCAGACTTTCGAAACTAGGGGGGCACAATTTAACTTTCACAAAGTGACGGGAGTGCGTCGGGAATGGGAACTTACCTCGCCACAGGCTAACGGGAACTTAAATCCATTACTTTCATTTTGAGAGGAAAACGGGAACTTACCTCGCCCAAGCTGACAGGAGCAGTGCGCCGGCGACGGGAGTTAGAGCTTGGAACAGGCAAATTAGTTATCAGGAGTGATCCTAAGACTGCACCGCTGCAGTTCAGAGCTGCAATTGCACCCTCAGCCTGCCAAATAAAAAATATTTTAGTTGAAATATAAATCCAAACACATCGAAAACATAAAGGAACATTTTTATGTAGTCTATAATGATTTTAAATGAATTATTGATTCGCATCAAAGACTAAAGAATTGAAGAAAATAGTGATATATTTTTCGTCATCTTTTCCAACTTTATAATCAAAAGGTCTGAGGTGAGGAGAATGGTCATTTTATGATGTCAATGACACAGACTCAAAAGTCAAGGTTACTAATGCCAAGGCAAAGCTTTACTCATCATAAGATCTGAAACTTGGTTGATGAATCTGAATGTCCAGCCAGAGACATAACAAGAAACACATTATCATATACCATGAATAAGAAGCATATTAGAACTTACTTCTATCAGCCACTCCGAGACTGAAATTCTGAATAAGTTCAGAAAAATCAGAATTCAGTAAGAGAACTGAAAATAATGGGAACTGGAAAAGGTCAGTAAACAACAATTAGGTGCATTACTATCAATTTCCACCCCCACCTAGCAATTTGTGTTGAATATGACATGAAGGCTGCAGTTTTCAACCCAATAGCAACTTCATTACCAAATTTCTCTAGCTAGTCAATTTGCAAGACATTCCAATTGGCTTCATTCCTAAATCCCAGTCAATAACAGTCACAGTCACAACACAGATAACAGAAGATTTGAAACTTCAATTGAATATCAGATTCATCAGAATATGTACACAGTCACAGCACAGATTACAGCTTCATTCCTAAATCCTAATTGTAATGGTTGGAGCTCAACTTCAACCAAAACCAATTAAATTAAATTCAACTCAAATCAACAAAACAATTTAAGATAATAAACTGGGATTCAATAACCCAGCTACAATTTCATTGATCGAATTGAAATTACAACAAAACAACAAAATATAAACAGCAAGGAGACAATAAAATGCAGGGAAATATGAGAAGGGAAGGGGGAAGAACAGTGAAGAAGAAAAACCGAGATGAAGGAGAAGCCAGGGGAAGAAGAGGAGATGAAGGAGGAGGAGGAGGAGAAGAAGCTGCAGGAAGAACTGGAGAAAAAGGAGGAGAAGACAGGGGAGGCGTTGGCAACAACCACAATTCAATTCACGACCCTCCCAAAGCTTCAATACAACCTAATATACAACAAAAGGACCCTAAAATTAAAGGGCTAGCAGAGAAGAAGAAGGAGAAGACGAGGAATGAGGGGGAAGCAGCCAAAGCCACAGTTCAATTCATCAATTCGACCCCCAATTCATCGTGCCCACAACCATGACACTAATCAAACTTCAAACTTCATTGAAAAATCAAAATGTACACAGATTGACAGATAACAGATCAACAAAACTCTCATCCAAAATCACAACTTCTCCAACATCAAAATTCAAAATCCCTAAAAAACTCAGTAGGCACGTGCCGAAACTTACCTCGTCACCGGAAGTCTTTGATTTATACAGGGGTCAGACGGGAGAGATGAGAGGGGAGACGTGAGGGTTTAGATTTTGAAGGAAGTCTTTCTCCTTTTTTTTTTTAAAAAAAAACTTCAAAATCTAGTGGGGCACGTGCCCCACTAGGCCCCACTATAGATCCGCTAGTGTTTTGATGATACCTGATTTGTAAATGTCGAGTTTATGTTTTACAGGGACTTTAGTCTTTATAAAGGGGTGATTGAACTACTTAAAGCTCCACATTTGGATATTGATGGTATTTAATCGTTATTCTCATTTTTTAGTTCCCGTATATATAAATTCTTGACGTCTTTCAAATTACATAGGTTCCCGTAAAAAGTTGCACATTAAAGACATCCTTGCGAAAGGTATTCCTTACTCTCTATTTTTTACTTTCTCATTAAAATTGTGGTTTATATGCTAGTGCCTGCTCAAAAAATGCGGAAGGGAGTTCTTATTTATGCAGAGCTTTGGTGAGAATGACAGCTGATTAAGGTAACCATTAGTTATTAGTAGTAATACAACTCCTCATTGGAAAAGATGAAAGCTAGCATGCTACTTTTTTCGATTGCAGTATAGGGTGAGGGTCGGTACAAAATAATGAGTTGGAGTATTTCAGTTACTATCCCAATTTTTAACTACCAATTCATATAAAATTGTCAAAAAAAAAATAAAAAACTGGAGGATTGTAGCCTTTTTGTACCTTTTTTTTTCTTTTGAAATTTATCTTTGTGGTCAATAGAGTAAGCTGTTTTATTGTGTCCTTGACAAGGAACATTTGTACATTGATTTATTCTCTACATCAAGCTACCTATTAGTTTTTATTCTAAAGTTCAAAATTCATCTTATAATTATTTGGAGAGAACTTTATTAGGTGGTACCAAGCATGGGGATTGTGTTTAAGAAGTATCATATTCATCAAGAATTTCTGATTTGTGATGTTTCTATGTGACTATTTTGTTGTACGTCTGTTTTATCAATGTACTAACTGTCGCACCCACAACTTATTCATATGGGCTTTTGTTACATATTTCTTAATTGGCGACAGTGCAGTTGATTGTATTTCTGCATTGATCTTCTAAACTATTTGTTTATGAAGGTGGTTATGCAGGAACGATCCGTGTGCAACAATCTAGAAAAAACAAAAGGGGATAAACTAAAATATTGGGCGGAAAATGCATGGAGAAACTGATGGATGTTACTGGCAGATGCACTGGAGTTGTCCAAATCGTCTCCCAAGTTGCCAGTCATAGATGCTCGAATCTATAGTGTCGTGTAGTTTCCTATAAGTTTCTCAAGGGCAGTAAATTTTTTTTGAGTCGGAGCATTGCAAAGGTCAATGTGGCTTTATATCTCATTATCTCTAATGTGATATTGCAACGTGAAAATTTTTGTATGATGCATATTATGATGTTATAACTTCAGTGTTAAGAATGTTAAAATGCAACTCTAATAAATAAGTAGGTTGCCAAACATAAATATAGTTCTATACTTACAAGACAACTTATCCAAACAAGTATAACTTTACTTATTTTACTTGTAAGAAATTATTTTTCTAAATAAGCCACCTCAATATAGAGACAATCCTTTTTCCACAAAATAGATATTTTCTTGTACTAGCCATGTTAACATTTGAACATATCAACCTTGACGACTCAAATAATACTTTAGCTTTTACACTTTAGTTATCGGGGAAGATAGTCTCATATTATATTGGTAGGTCATTGTATTGATAGTTGGAGTCGTTATATCAAATCCTATATTAGAATGAACATGAAACTTATTACAACACAATTTAACATTAATTTCGAAGTGCACATTCTTGTTCTTCTCTCTTCCTCTTGTTAGTTGATCTGAAATTGAAGTTAAAGAGATCAAGTTGACAATCATAGATTTTGTTCCACTCTACCTCTAAATTTTATACTAATTGTCATTTAAAATTTCTTGGTGTTCCATCTAATTCCTGATGGAGACACCCGTGCTTGATAGCTGATAGATTCTGAAAACACAAAAAGGGGGGAATTTTGACAATCTCATTCAAAAGAAAATGAAGATACATAGCTAAATTATATAGCCATACATTGAGTACAATCAACAAGGATTTTCTACCAACTATTCCTCTAACTTTCACACTACCATACTTGACTTGACATATAGACAACTTGCAGATCCAACTTGTAAGAATTATAAAACATAACTTAAGCTATTATAAGTTACAAAATGTATGTCAAACTAAAGATAACAAAATAAATGGGTTGACAACAAAAGTACAATTGGCACGGTTCATCACTCCTCCTTGACACTTTTGTTGGAAACACAAAGACCATTTCTTAATGTTTCAAACCTCTCCTTAGGCAAAGCTTTGGTGAAGATATCAGCTACTTGCTCCTCTGAACTGCAGTGCTTCAATTTCACCTCTTTCATTTCTTGAGCATCCCTTATGAAATGATACTTGATATTTATGTTTTTTGTCTTTCCATGGAACACTGGATTTTTCACAATTGCTACGGTAGATTGATTGTCCAATTTTCTGATTTCATAGTCCTCTATTCCTCTGATATATCTCAGCACTCTTTTTGCAGCTTGAAAGTGAATTTCACTTAGCTCTTGCCTGAATCTTGATAGCAGGTTAACAGCAAACATCAGGTCTGGTCTTATGGCTGTTAAATAGAGCAAGCATCCAACCAAGCTTCTATACACCTTTTCATCAGTTTTCTTAGC